ACGTTTTTTTTTTTAATTAAACTTTTTGACTCAAATTTATTTTATTAACTATATTTTATAAAAGCTTATGGTTAAAAATCACAAATCACAATAACACTTCTTGACTAAATTAATTTTTATTGTTGTTTTGTAGTTATGTTATGAATACGACTTGGGTTTAGAAACATTTTTTTGTTTACATGATTAGTGTATATTGGTATAACGTACTGTATTTTTCGGACTAATGATAAGACGCACCTCAAAGTTATAAGATGATTTTTAGAAAAATATATCGCCGGTATACAAGAAAAGATGACCAAGCCCACCGATAGTAGTTTTGAGTTATTATTATTTTAATGATTTGTTTATGATTATAAAATCAAATCAACTATTTAGGCATTATGGAATTGTATGGCATTTTTCGAGTTGTTCATTTTTTCCTGATAAATAATATTAAATTTAAAGTACATGGGCATTACAAACTAATATAACGACGATATTTTAGTGTTACTTTCGAATCATAATTTTTATTTATTATTAAGATAACTCGTACTAGCTGTAACCCCTCCTGGGGCTCGATTCTCGAGTTCATTGGAAAATTTTCCCATGGGAAAAGATTCCACTACTTATATTCCCATGGTAATAGGTTATGCAATTCTCGAACTTGTCGGAATAGACATTCCCATGGAAATAATAGTTTCACGTATGTCTGATATTAAGTTCACGAATATTTCGAAATAACCAATAACATTAAAGATATTTTAAAATTTACTGTTGGTATTATTTGTATTTGTTGTGGTTTTTGGGTAACCGATTACCTGCCGAGCCTCTGCGCTGGAGCAGATGCCGTGCCGAGCAATCGCTAGCTTGACCGAGGACAAGTGAAAATATTCGATTATGTATAATTAAAACTTATCGAGTTATTTTTAGTTTTTCTTTTCACATATTGAAAAAAGAAAAAGTAGCTTTTGTATAGAAGAGCAACGAAAGTTTCGAGAAACTATATATATAAGAAATTCTTTCGTTAACGGAAATAATAAAATTTTCGAAAAGGTCTTATTAAATTTACTACAAATTTCTCAATTTGTGTTACCTATTTGCCAGTCCCTTAGCAGCTCCCACAATTTCTATCTAATTTAAGAAAATCAGTTTTTTAGTGAAAGAGAGGTAAAAATAATATACCCACATAAATAAAATAATATCAATTTATAAATACACAAAAAAAATGTTTTAACTACAATTTCACCAAAAATCCAAGATATCCAATAATCTTTGGTTATGTCTTAGTCTTTCGCGTGGTCTTTCGTCAAATTTTCGACTTTAATGCGCAAACTCTAGTACAATTCCCATTGGAAAACACAATTTCCAATGCTTGCAAGCAGGGGAATATTTTCCCATACTTCTCATTGGAAAATATTCCACCGCTTATGCCGAGAATACGAAAACTGAATTCCCATGGGAAAATTTTATTTTCCCATGGGAATAAAAGTGGAGAATCGACCCCCTGGGGTTTGTTCGGGTAGCAGGTAAATTCTACATAGTCGGAGACAGAGTTCTTTGGAAATAAAACTTTATTCTAACAATTTATATACAGATAACAATATTTACAATATGTACATGAAAAGGTTCTAACTAAATTTCGAATCGTCATATCTTCAAATGTCGTTTACCAAAATATATTTTGTGCGTCGGTTCGACGTGGCTTAGTGGTCCAGGATGGTGTTGCGAAGATATACAAAAGGTTAGGTTACCTTTACGGTGATGGAAGTCCCTCGAAGTCAATACCTTCGTGGGAGAGATTCACGGGAAAGGAAAACCTGCAAAGTCAATACCTTTGCAGGCAAGGGTCGGGACGTCGGGAAGCCTACAGTCAATACCTCCGCAGGAGAGGAGAGTCTTACTAAGTCAGTACCTTAGTTCGACTGACGAGAATTAAATTCGGAGCTCTTTATATACTTGTCTCTGCTTGGCAAAAACGGCTACATGCTGAAACATAGGCGTATCTAGAACGGTGTTACTGGGGAACATCGTTACAAATATTCATTTCATCTTCACTCTCAGTTTTAACACTCGTCTCGTTAATGTCACCGTTCATATTACTTTCGTCTTTACTATTGTTGTCACTCCTTTCAAAAACTGCGTCATCTATGATGACTTCATTCTTCTTTAATTAATATATTTTCGTTATTTTGTTTTAAAGTTTTCAATCGGTATTTAATGTTACATTTTTTTATTTTTTGTTTTTATTATTTTCAAAGAATACATACATTATTGTTTAATCTGTCAACTGTGCAAACCAATATTTTACAAAAGTAGTTGATGCCGATGACACCAAATAAAATAATCTATATCTATATACATAAAAGTGTTTGTCCTGATTGACTGACTGACTGACCTATCAATCTACAGCCAAAACTACTGAAAGCTGAAATTTGGAACATAGGTTTATTTTATAACGTAAGCATCCGCTAAGAAAGGATTTTTCAAAATTTTAACTTTAAATGGGGGAAATTGGAGGAAATTCACAATATAAAAAATGCATTTATAAAGCAATTTGAATTTGAAAATATTACTAATAGTAATAATTATGATTTAGCAAGTTGTGAATCTCCAGAAATATCTAATTTTGGGAGCGAGGATGACTAAGAACTTGGTGGATATGTTTGTGGACAATAAGCACTGATGATGGCAAAATGCCGAAAGCGCTTTGCATTTATTAATTAAAAAGTTTTGTACGAAATACAAGTCTTTCCTTTTGAATCTAAACTACGTGCACACAGCTGTCGACCTTTTTTGGTTATTTTAATAATAATGTGTTTTAGGGTTTTTATATTTTTACATCTTAAGGGGGGCAAACGGGGGGCGAAAGTTTGTATAGGAGTATATATTTTTTGAAAATTGGAATTGCAGCTAATAAGTTCAAATTAATAATGACGTGTTTTAGGGTTTTTGGATTTTCACATTTTAAGGAGGGGAAACGGGGGGTGAAAATTTATTTGTAAATATCGATTCATAAATAAATAATGAAGTGTTTCAGGGTTTTTGCTTTTTAAAATTTTAAGGGGGGAAATGGGGGGGGGGAGAAATTATTAAAAATTAATAAAAAATTAATAAAAACTAATAAAAATTATTAAAAATTAATAAAAAATTAATGAAAATTAATAAAAATTATTAAAAATTAATAAAAACGAATAAAAATTAATAAAACTTAATAAACATTAATAAATATTAATAAAAGTTAATAAAAATTAATAAAAATTAATAAAAGTTAATAAAAATTAATAAAAATTAATAAAAATTAATAAAAATTAATAAATGTAAATAAAAAATAAATAAAAATGTATAAAAATGAATAAAAGTGAATAAAAATGAATAAAAGTGAATAAAAATGAATAAAAATGAATAAAAATGAATAAAAATGAATAAAAATGAATAAAAATGAATAAAAATGAATAAAAATGAATAAAAATGAATAAAAATAATTTAAAATGAGTAAAAATAAATAAATATGAATAAAAATAAAAAAAGTGAATAAAAATCAATAAAACTAATAAAAATTAATAAAAAAGGAAGTCATGTATTTTTTTATATTAATAACATGACTACATGCGAGCATGGTCGCGAGCAAAGCCGCGAACAACAGCTAGTAATAAATAGTAATAATAACCGTTACTTATATTATTAATTTCAGTTTATAAATAACAGTTTGTGAAATATTGCCCAACTCTATTTCAACTTGGAACATTTCGTGAAATTTATTGATTGATTTATTTTTCAACTGATAGAATAGGTTCTTCTGTTCGTCCCACTGGTGTAGGAATGAACTACACCAACGGGACACTAAGGTCCGTATTTATAAACAGAACTCAGCTGAGTCGGACCTGGGTAAGTCGTCCTTGAACTAAAATCGAAGTTCGGTTATATCTCGTGAATTTAGGGATGGATAGTAACAAATCCGTAAATGTACTTAACAGTTACAGATTTGCTAATATCCATCTTTAAATTCCAGTGTAACACCAGAACCACCTGGAACTTTAGAGACGTTGTAACCGATATTCATTTTAATTCAAGAACGACTTACCCAAGACCAACTCAGCTGAGTTTTGTTTATAAATACTTACAGACCTAAACCTTTCGTTTGGCCCGGTGTAAAATAAACAACACCTTCCTGTCGGCGTTGCGGTGTCCACTGGTGAATATTTTCTCTACCAGCTATTTAGCAGGAGTGAATTACACTCGACATGTGTATAAGGAATAAGGAGGAAGTAAACTAGGTAAATAAGGTGGTGTAATTTACACTGGTGCACACTACACCAACAGCGAACAAAAAACCTAATATTCACTAAACTCAAGAGGCCATCTAGTGGCGATACCCTTGAATTAGAAAATTCAAATATATAGTTATTACATATCCATTGGCATCAATATTTGTACAGAATATACTACAATACCTTTACAGGTTATGGTATAGTTGAATTTATTGTATTTTCAATAATTCATTTTACTACTTTTTCAATTTGTTTTCATATGTCTCACAACTTAGTTGATGCTTTCAACTACTGTCATCTAATTTGAGATCCTAGAAAATGATTTATTTTTTAAACAAATTGGAATGGCCAGGGTCAATGTTTTTACATGCATTCTGTTCGCACCAATTTTCACGTAAACCCAGCCTTAAAAGTTTGTAGTATTAAATATGTGAAAATCGTTGCTGCTGCCACTGAACTCCCTACCAGTAGAACGCTACACAAGCCTGCCAAGCTAATAAAAAATGTCACAGCTCTGCGATGTTTAGCGCACTACAACGTTAAATACAAAATTTGTTAAATGCGAGAAATGTAAACTCTGGCGATTTTTAAACTGATTAGCAGCGCTCATTTTAGCCATTTTCCTCAGACTTGCATATAAAAAAATAAAAATTTCTCCTTTTAAGAAAATAGCCAAGTAACTTCCTCAAATATTACAAATTTAATGAACATTAACTGATAAGATAACTAAACTATTCTTTTCCATCCACTTACCTTGCTTGATGGCGTTTCACTAGTAGAAGGCAGGTCTTCGGAGGAATCGTCTTCCCATTCTGATATAATCTTCTGAGCAGTTTGACGTACCTTCTTCTTACTTAAATAATTTATAACAGCGCCCAAGTCTATTACCTGGGCTGTACATCTTACGTTTTTTAAATAATTTCCTATCATTGTTTCGGTTTCGAGACATAATTTTCGAAAAGTGTAAGCTACTCGTAGACTTTCGCGACAGTTTCCACATATTTCTGGAGAATGTGAGAGCCCAAGGTACTGAAAATAAAAATGTATTTTATTTTACAAAAAAAAAGAATTTTAATAAATCCAGTATTTTTTGAGGTTGAAATTATTTGTTACCAACTAGAATGGTGCAATAAAATAAAATTTTGAAATATTTAATATATGCGGGGAAGCGAAAAAGTCTGGCAACAAGGTATTTTCTTTGAAACGAATAAATGTTTAATTATTTTGAAATTGTTGTAGGGTGATGTATAGGACTGTATTACATTATTGTTTTTTCTAATCTTACACATACAGGGTAGCGAAAAAGTCTGGTATTTTAGGTTGATGACTGGGATGAGGCTGAAGCTAGCAGACAAACAGGGCGTCGGTCCCTTAAAGTTTTGATATTGTTATTCGGCAAAATCTTTGGTTTAGGTGGACATCAGTACAATGAAAGTTTAGAAATAAATAAAAATTAGTGTATTTATTGAAAAAAATAGATTAATTCAATTTGAATTATTAGTTAAAACAACATAATCTTACAAAAAGACGGGGATGAAACAAACATATTTACAATGCGATTATAATTATAATTTTTATACCAAACTAGCTATTGCCCGCGGCTGTGCTCGCGACTTTTCTTGCATGTAGTCATGTTATTAATATAAAAAATACATGACTTCCTTTTTTATTAATTTTTATTAGTTTTATTGATTTTCATTCATTTTTATTCATTTTTAATCATTTTTAATAATTTTTATTCATTTTTTTTATTCATTTTTATTAATTTTTATTCATTTTTATTCTTTTTTATTCGTTTTTATTAATTTTTATTTATTTTTATAATTTTTTTTTTATTTTTTTTAATTTTTTTTAATTTTTAATAATTAATTTTTAATAATTTTTAATATTTTTTAATAATTTTTAATATTTTTTAATAATTTTTAATAATTTTTATTAATTTTTATTATATTTTTATTAATTTTTATTAATTTTTATTAATTTTTATTAATTTTTATTAATTTTTATTAATTTTTATTAATTTTTATTAATTTTTATTAATTTTTATTAATTTTTATTAATTTTTATTAATTTTTATTAATTTTTATTAATTTTTATTAATTTTTATTAAATTTTATTAATTTTTATTAATTTTTATTAATTTTTATTAATTTTTATTAATTTTTATTAATTTTTATTAATTTTTATTAATTTTTATTAATTTTTATTAATTTTTATTAATTTTTATTAATTTTTATTAATTTTTATTAATTTTTATTAATTTTTATTAATTTTTATTAATTTTTATTAATTTTTATTAATTTTTATTAATTTTTATTAATTTTTATTAATTTTTATTAATTTTTATTAATTTTTATTAATTTTTATTAATTTTTATTAATTTTTATTAATTTTTATTAATTTTTATTAATTTTTATTAATTTTTATTAATTTTTATTAATTTTTATTAATTTTTATTAATTTTTATTAATTTTTATTAATTTTTATTAATTTTTATTAATTTTTATTAATTTTTATTAATTTTTATTAATTTTTATTAATTTTTATTAATTTTTATTAATTTTTATTAATTTTTATTAATTTTTATTAATTTTTATTAATTTTTATTAATTTTTATTAATTTTTAATAATTTTTATTAATTTTTATTTATTTTTAATAATTTTTTATAATTATTTTTTTTTAATTTAATTTTATTTTTATGATACTACCATACAAAAATCTAAAAACCACAGAGCACGTCCTTATTTATTTAGTCTACAATTATAATTTTCAAGTTCCAAGGTTCAAAAAATTTATACTTGTATACAAATTTTTACCCCTGTTTTGCCTCCTTAAAATTTGAAAATCCATAAACCATGAAACACATATTTTTTGATTTTTAATCAGTAGCTCTAATTCAAATTTTTATATTTCATACTTTAAATAACAAAAAAATATATACATACTATTAAACAAATTTTCATTTCCCCTTAAAATGTTAAAATGCAAAAACCCTGAAACACTTCATTATTTATTCATGATAAAAACCTAAAATTCCAGTTTTCTAGTCCATACCTTTAAACAAAATCGATATTTCCAAATAAACTTTCACCCCCTGTTTCCCACCCTTAAATTGTGAAAGTCTAACTTTAAAAAGAACAAAAAAAAATCGATAGTCCCATACAAACTTTCACCCCCTGTTTTCCCCTTTAAAATGTGAAAATCTAAAAGCCCTAAAACACATCATTATTAATTTGTATTCATTAGCTGCAATTCCAATTTTCATGTTTCTAACTTTAAAGAGAACCAAAAACATAGATACTCCCAAATAATTTTTTACCCCCATCCCCCCCTTAAAATGTGAAAATCTAAAAACCCTAAAACACGTCATTAATAATCTGTAGTCAGTAGCTGTAATTCCAATTTTTATGTTTCTAACTTTAAAAAGAACAAAAAAAATCGATAGTCCCATACAAACTTTTACCCCATGTTTCCCCTCCTTAAAATGTGAAAATCTAAAAGCCCTAAAACACATCATTATTAATTTGTATTCATTAGCTGCAATTCCAATTTTCATGTTTCTAACTTTAAAGAGAACCAAAAACATAGATACTCCCAAATAATTTTTTACCCCCATCCCCCCCTTAAAATTGAAAATCTAAAAACCCTAAAACACGTCATTAATAATCTGTAGTCAGTAGCTGTAATTCCAATTTTTATGTTTCTAACTTTAAAAAGAACAAAAAAATCGATAGTCCCATACAAACTTTCACCCCATGTTTCCCCTCCTTAAAATGTGAAAATCTAAAAACCCTAAAACACATCATTATTAATTTGTATTCATTAGCTGCAATTCCAATTTTCATGTTTCTAACTTTAAAGAGAACCAAAAACATAGATACTCCCAAATAATTTTTTACCCCCATTTCCTCCCCTTAAAATGTGAAAATCTAAAAACCCTAAAACACGTCATTAATAATCTGTAGTCAGTAGCTGCAATTCCAATTTTTATGTTTCTAACTTTAAAAAGAACAAAAAAATCGATAGTCCCATACAAACTTTCACCCCCTGTTTCCCCCTTTAAAATTTAAAAATCTAAAAGCCCTAAAACACATAATTATTAATTTGTATTCATTAGCTGCAATTCCAATTTTCATGTTTCTAACTTTAAAGAGAACCAAAAACATAGATACTCCCAAATAATTTTTTACCCCCATTTCCCCCCCTTAAAATGTGAAAATCTAAAAACCCTGAAACACGTCATTAATAATCTGTAGTTAGTAACTGCAATTCCAATTTTTATGTTTCTAACTTTAAAAAGAACAAAAAAAAATCGATAGTCCCATACAAACTTTCACCCCCTGTTTCCCCCCCTTAAAATGTGAAAATCTGAAAACCTTAAAACACATCTTTATTAATTTGTATTCATTAGCTGCAATTCCAATTTTCATGTTTCTAACTTTAAAGAGAACCAATAACAGATACTCCCAAATAATTTTTTACCCCCATTTCTCCCCTTTAAAATGTGAAAATCTAAAAACCCTGAAACACGTCATTAATAATCTGTAGTTAGTAGCTGCAATTCCAATTTTTATGTTTCTAACTTTAAAAAGAACAAAAAAAATTGATAGTCCCATACAAACTTTCACCCCTTGTTTTCCCCCCCTTAAAATGTAAAAATCCAATGTATTGAATCATTCGTACTAAAAATTATACCTGGATTTTCGTACTAAACAGTGGTTTTTGTCATTTTGATAAAGTAAGGTTTAACCGCGGAATCGCGCATTTTTATAGACCTAAAAAACGTATTTGGAGGTTTTGCTATTTAATAATTTAATTTTTACTTGAATTATAATAATGTATTGAATCATTCGTACTAAAAATTATACCTGGATTTTCGTACTAAATAGTAGTTTTTGTCATTTTGATAAAGTAAGGTTTAACCGCGGAATCGCGCATTTTTAAAGACCTAAAAAATGTATTTGGAGGTCTTGCTATTTAATAATTTAATTATTATTCGAATTATAATAATGTATTGAATCATTCGTACTAAAAATTATACCTGGATGTTCGTGCTAAATAGTGGTTTTTGTCATTTTGATAAAGTAAGGTTTAACCGCGGAATCGCGCAATTTTAAAGACCTAAAAAACGTATTTGGAGGTCTTGCTATTTAATAATTTAATTTTTATTTGAATTATAATGTATTGAATCATTCGTACTAAAAAATATACCTGGATTTTCGTGCTAAACAGTGGTTTTTGTCATTTTGATACAGTAAGGTTTAACCGCGGAATCGCTCATTTTTTAAGACCTAAAAAATGTATTTGGAGGTCTTGCTATTTAATAATTTATTTATTTGAATTATATTAATGTATTGAATCATTCGTACTAAAAATTTTACCTGGATTTTCGTGCTAAATAGTGGTTTTTGTCATTTTGATAAAGTAAGGTTTAACCGCGGAATCTCGCATTTTTAAAGACCTAAAGAACGTATTTGGAGGTCTTACTGTTTAATAATTCAATTTTTATTTGAATTATAATAATGTATTGAATCATTCGTACTAAAAATTATACCTGGATTTTCGTGCTAAACAGTGGTTTTTGTCATTTTGATAAAGTAAGGTTTAACCGCGGAATCGCGCATTTTTAAAGACCTAAAAAACGTATTTGGAGGTCTTGCTATTTAATAATTTATTATTTATTTGAATTATAATATGGTATTGATTATTCGTACTAAAAATTATACCTGTATTTTTGTGCTAAATAGTGGTTTTTGTCATTTTGATAAAGGTTTAACTGCGGAATCATGCATTTTTAAAGATCTAAAAAACGTATTTGGAGGTCTTGCTATTTAATAATTTATTTTTACTTGAATTATAATAATGTATTGAATCATTCGTACTAAAAATTATACCTGGATTTTCGTACTAAATAGTAGTTTTTGTCATTTTGATAAAGTAAGGTTTAACCGCGGAATCGCGCATTTTTAAAGACCTAAAAAATGTATTTGGAGGTCTTGCTATTTAATAATTTAATTATTATTTGAAT